GTATATTTATTTAGTTGTTTAATTAAATACAGGATTACACAATTTTGGTAATGCGTAAGGCGATGTTTAGACGAGAAGATGCGATTCGTCTTGCAGCAACTGGTGCTGTCATTGACCTAATTCTAGCAGAAAAGCAATCCAAGAGAGATGACACACTATTATTTCAAGAGTCATCTAGCCAAGCCAGTAGCAGCCAGCAATCTGAGATGCGCTACAGTGTGGGGGGAGTCCTTTTTCAAGAGCTTAGTGGTTTGCTACAGAGATGTCTTTATCAGCAGGTTTTACATTTGTCTTGTTAATGATATTCTGTTTTTATTTGACCAATGTCAGAATATAATTGGGTCACTGGTTTTAGGCAAATGTCAAAGAAGTCATGTATCATGGACTTGTGAAGCTTGTGTTGGTGGACCCGTCAAGTGGTGGAGCTGTCTTTGATTTTCTGTTACCTCACTTCCTCCACTTCTATAAGGAGGTAATTGCAGATGCTTGTGATAGCTTGTTTTGTGAAGCTTTATGCTGTTTCTGAATTCCAAGTTTTGATCCATTATCTGGCAAAATTTATGGTTTATCATGCCAAATTTTATGGAAAGAAACTAAAACAGTGCTGATTTTGCATCTGGCATGTAGTTGATACAATTAATATAAATTCCATGCTTAAGATTGAAGCACTATCTTGGCAGGATGAAGACGTTCACCTACGAATCAACTGCTGTGTTAAATCAGAGAGTGGCAAGGTTTATATAGAAGAGCCGTTAGATTGTCTTCTATCTTGTATCTCTTGGATGCTACTTTTACAACCGCATGGTAAAACTGAGCACTTGGAATCTTCATGGGCATGTTTGGGTTTCTCCCTTTCACAAGAAAACGAGGTCTCACATTTCTAGTTAACAAAATTCATTAAAACTATAGTTTACATCTGATTTCTTGTTTCTTTTTGTACCGTATGATTTCTTTTTTAGATTTAAAAATAGAATTTGAATCTTACATTGGCAAATATGAAACCACTGACAGGCAGGAAGAAATTTGTCAGGTGACTCGTTCTATACTGCTTTCTTGAAGATACGGAAGTCATTAAGAAATCAGAGTTTGGAAGGTTTGCATTAAGACTTTATTAACCTATGCCATTTCTTTTCTCCCTTGGTTCCTCTTGAGGTTGTGTGAAGTATCATTGGTATATCCTTTTTCAAATTTGTTGTATGATAGTTTCAAATGTTTTGATTCTTTCGAACCTTTTGTTTTTGGGGAATTCGCACTTGCTGAAAGATTAAGCATTACGCAACAAATAGTGTATTGTTGTTTGTCAGAGACACAGTCTGTACTTTTTGAGTCAGATTGGAAACTATTGATGTTATACTTGTCATTCTTATTTTAAGACAGACCTTTCTTAACAGTTAGATTCTTTATGTATCAGGCATCTTTGGTCAATCTCAGGATTCCGGTTCTTCATCTTTTGAAGAGGACAAAAGAAAATGCTGCTCGTTTGTTTTATCAGGAATTATTGAAGTAGTCTTGAATGCTATTGCTACTGAGTTGGAGAAAGCAACAGACAGAAAGAAGTTGGATTTGGAAAAGGAGCTTATTGAGTTTGTTGACCTTCATGATTCATTGGATAAGGATGCAGGTATCTCCAAGCAGAGTACAACTATCAGAAGAGGGAATCCTCGCACTACTGCTCACGATATGACCAACAACATGGATTCAGGCCAATCAAAAGTGACACAAGGACGAGTATCTTTCTTTGCAACTTCAAGTATATATCAGATCTTGCAAACAGTGTTGACACTACTCAATACTGATAATTCTGATAATGTTGCGACTTCCCAAAACCATAGCCAGTTGACTAGCAAAACAACAAAATGCTCCGCTAAGATGATTTGTTTTGTGTTGAATGCATCCCTCAGTCATATAAAATCTTCATCTGTGCTGCGAAATGAAGATCCATTGAGAACGTTGATCTATGGGGAACTTAAGATGCTAGGACCCCCCTTGCTGAAGTTGATCATTTTGCTCAAATCGGGGCCAAAGATGTCAGATCAAAAGAAAAAGGAAGCTAAAGGAAAGAAAGATGTTCATGGACAAAGGGACCATCTTCATCTAGCCTTGATTTGCTTGAAGGAGTTGATAATGATTTGTTCATCAACTTCACACTTGACTGGTTTGCTTGAGGATATGGTGTCAATCTCCACTCTTCAGCATGCTGATTCAAATAATGAAAGTGAAACAATCTCGATAATCAACGATCAACATTTACGAAGCAAAGAACTGTTCATTGACAAAACCTTGAAGCCTCTATTTTCTGAGCTTCTGGCACTTTCATTTTTCAGTGAAGTTGAGGTAACCGGCATCTGTGACTGCTGATTTGTACCCACTTTTTTTTTTTCCTTGTAGAATGCATTTATCTATTTCTCAAAAGAGCTTTTCTATTTCAGATCATCTCTGACATGATAATGATCATCGGGCGCAAATTGCCATGCGAACTGAGTAACTCCCATGGAGCTTGGGCTGTTAGTGTTTGCAAAAACAATGAAATATTAAGCTCCAAGGTCGGAAAAAGCATTGTGAGGCTCGCTATATGTTTAAGCTCCCCACCAGATGATTTAATTATATCTCAAGATCTGGCTAGAGAGCTGTTACAAGTTATTGGATCAGAGGGAAATGAACCTGTGAAGGTGTCTGAAGCATACCCGGTCATAAACCATCTGACAAGCGCGGTATTAAATTCTTGTGTACTGCACACAATTGAAGAAGTTGTAGCTGATATGGATTGGGCCACCAAAAAGTTGAAGACATTCTCTTTAGTCTATCAAAAAATGGTTCATTTCAGTCAGAACAACGAGCAATCTTCTGAGTTGGCATTTGAGGAAAATCTTTACCCTAGGGCGGGAGCAGTGGTGAAAGTACTATCATCCTTTGTTTCAATGAGCCTCAATGGTACATGTGGAGTTTCTACAAAGAAATGAATCCATCCTACTTGTTGCCACTCCTGTTTATTCATTTTGCTTTCAACCTCTGCAGATACTCAAGCTGAGATATTGCTGCGATTGGCTGCGAGGTTTTACAAGCATTTAGCTCAGATGTCAAAGCTTAGAATTGCTCCTAAAGGTTGCAGACAGATCTTTCCTAGCCTCAAGTTTCAGAAGCTTGTGGAAGTAACCTGTAAACAGCTCACGAACCCGTTGTATGTCTTTGTGGACATTATGCAAAAGGTATTATTCCGATTCTCTGCCCTTTCTTCCCATGATTTCACTTGCACTATCGACTGTTTGCTGTCCGTTGTAAGGGTTTAGGTTTTGGGGTTTATGGTTCAACTGATGCCGCGGTTCCATTTCATTGATACTTGCATCGCAGAAACAACAAGAAAATGCTAACAAAAAGGGGATCATCAACAAAATAAAGAGGGAGAACAGATGCATCCCAGACCTGATATATCAGATAGAAGACTATGAAAAGTATCTAATCCAGCTTAGCAAGGTGTGCAAAGTGAATCTATTAAAGCACGCCAAGCGAAGCACTGCGCGTGATTTCAGAATATTCCCGAAAGAGAATGCCACTCCAAGTGATGAAGCAAACCATGCCAACTCCAATGCAGTTGAAAACGAGTCAGCTGAGGATCTCAATGCCAATGACAACGAAGGAGACGATGATGACGGGTTGGAGAAGATTTTATCAGCAGAATCGAATAGTCCTATGGTTGCAGAGGATTCTGGCTCGGAGAATGAAGAAGGAGATGGCCTTCCTAGTGCAAAGAGGTTGAAGAGAAACAACATAGTTGTGGAGGACTCTGATGATGAAGCCTAATACAAAATGCACGCGACTGATATACATCCACACACTCCACACACACTACATATATGAGGGAAATTTTGATATTTCTACGTTGGCCATCGTTCTATTTTCATAGAATTTTATAGCAAACGTGATCCATCACGAATTTACAACGAGTATTAGGATAAGTGAACCCTAACGGGTTGGTCTATGGAAAAAGCGAACAAAGAGTTGGAGCCCCCAATTTGAGTTCAACTCTCATGGATATATTCGTTGGGACCGCTGTCTTTGCTTTGGTGGACTATTTGATCCGGAAATCAAAAGTATGCTACTGATTTATGCATTATCAAGGTTACATTAAAAAAAAAAGATTAAGTACATAAAATCTCTTTTACAGTCTTTTTAAGTGATTGTGAGTACTAACGGTTGATAAATGAGATTGAATTTTAAAATGGTATGATATATGGATTAAGTTAGCTCATCTAATGACATTTAATATGACAATGGTGTGCATGTGGTAGAGGGAAAGTATTTCCGAAATATAATGTTACATTTTTCAAACTCATTTTCCCAAAGGTCTCGTGATTATTGTCATGTATTAGATTTAGAATGATGAGTTAGAGCTGAAAGTACAGAAGGGTAGAAACACAGCCATCATTGTCACACAAAATATTAAAATTATAAATTTTGGTCGGACCATTTATGTGGGATTATCAAACCCCAAAAGAGTCAAAATTTTTCAAACTCGTTCAGAATATTTACCTCACGGTGAAAGTAATTTATTTTCAGGTATTTAATGATAATTTTAAGAGAGTTTATTAAAATTAATTTTTAAAAAATAGTAATATTTAAGTTCGGTTAAAATATAATTTAAAAGATTTAAAAAGCTAAAAAATTTAAAAGAATTAAAGAGATTTCGTAATATATTTTAAGAACTAATAAATTTCACGTCTCTCTTTAAAATTTAAGAAGTGTATTCAAAATTTTACATAAATTCTCTAAAAATCAATTAAATTTAATCAAATTCTATAAATTTATAAATCTATTAAACTCTTCCAAAATTCAAATAAAATACAATCTCGTAAATGCGATCAAAGAACTCCCGCAAGTCCCCGTACGCGGTAAAAATACCAAAACCAAACCGCAGTAAATAAAAAAGATCTTCCGAAATGGAAAAGAAAACAATCATAACACACATTTTTCACTCATCGCAGTCACACCCACAAGACTCAGAGAGAGCGAGAGAGAGAGAGAGAGAGAGCGGAGAGAAGGGTGGGTGTGGAGGGCGTTGTTCTTCTTCTCTGAGCAGAAAAGAACAAGTTTCATCCTGCTTTTCCAGGCAAAGCTCTGATTTGACACCAAATCGGAACCAAACACACTCGCTTTTGCAAGCGAAGCAGAGGCGAAAACCACAAAAGTATGAGCGAAGACGCGAAGAGAAGCGTCGCCGGAGCTCTGTCGGCGAAGCCTAATTCTGACGACCGGAAACCCTCCTCGGCTGTCACCACTCCCGCCGGCAAGCGCGTCATCATCAAGAGCGCCGACATGTTTCAGGATATGCAGAAGGAGGCCGTCGACATCGCCATCGGGGTTGGCTCTCTCTCTCTCCTCTCTCTCTCTTACTTTGTTTTGCTGGAAAGGGATTTGTTGGAGATGGAAAATTGAATTTCTGGGTTTTGTTCTGTTCAGGCATTTGAGAAGCACAGCGTGGAGAAGGACGTTGCGGAGTATATAAAGAAGGAGTTCGATAAGAAGCATGGACCCACTTGGCATTGCATCGTCGGTCGTAATTTTGGTAACCCATTCAATTTCTCTCCTTTTCTTTTCTGGGTTTTGTTCAGATTTAATAGTTGAATGCATTTGGAGTGACATCGAAGAAAATGTAATTCATTGTTTAGTGATTTTAGTTGTTATTGGGTTTTATTTGTAGTTTAATGAGGATGGGTTGTGTTGTTTGAAATGGAATAGATCTAAGCTTAAATGGATTCCTGTGTTCTAAATGGTTATCAGCTGGATATTGCAAAAAGTACCGGAATTTATAGTCCTAAATGATTAACAAATTCTAAATTAGAATGGCTGAAAAAACTTGGATCATATAGGTCTGATGTTATCGTAGCCGACTGTACATGTTACTTTATTTGTGGACATGAAGTAGTGTTTAACTCAATAGGAGAAACCGGGATGCTGAATGACTATTCTCCAGCAGATCCTAATTTTGTAAGGACCTCTGTTAGTGATCTTTCCTCAACCTTCTTTTGTTGAGTGGTCGATATTCACCTATGGTTGAATGGTGGAAAGAGATTTTTAAGTGATTGAAAGTTGGGGATTCAATCTTGTATATAATCACTCTGCAATAAAAGTCATGTTTGCCAACAAATGAAATTAAGTTGTTGGCTTGTCTTACACACTGACTGTACCAAAGTTTATAAGTTTGAGGTGCCTAATAGGCTGTGTCTAGACTCTAAATCAATGTCTTATCAATACCTTTGGAGGGAGGCAGCAGAATTGAATATGCTTGTGATTTGGTTTCTTTATGCTGTGTGACAACATGTATTCCTAAATGCTTAGCTGGTTATTTAGAGGAGAGAGATTTTAGGTGATTAGTTTAGAAAAAGTTTAGGTGAGATGTTCAAGTAATTCACCGACTGCAGCTTGAGCTGAAAAAGTTTATTGATAGCCCATCCATTTGAAAAAAGGTTGTGCTAGTGATGTCCTACCATGCAAGAGACAGCCCGTTGGGGTGTTGATTTATGTGCACCAAAAGTGAATGTCTTATAAGTCTGTTATGTTGTTGGTTCACTTCTGCATATGGAAAAAATATTTGGTTCTTTTTTCATTGTTACGTGCCACTGTTACATTTTTCACATGCAATGTTTTGACATTGGTGTAAAATTAGATATCATTCCCCGGTTTAACAAAGTTCCTATGTTTCCTGTTTTGTATAAGTATTAGTTTGCGCCATTTCTAACTGTAGGAAACAGTAGGTGGGATTGCCATGGATAATCAGAGCAACATTTTCTTTAGTTTCTGTTCAACCATCTTGCTAGCTTAACATCATTGTAGTAAAAACATGAGGCCACCTAGGTTTAACAGTTCATAACTGTCTTGTGCGTCTCCTACTATGTTTTCCACAAGCACCCTTTTGGTTTATTATGAACCTCACCAGCACTGGCATTGCTGCTTCAGAGTTAATAGTTCAGAGCGCTCACACTCATATTTGGTTGTTGGGTCTAAAACTAGCTGTGAGTCTGCCACCAGTTTACATTGTATTCTTGACAGATGTATACAATAGCCAATATAGCAGGCAAAGGCACGTGCTTGATGCCTTTGGTGATCTTTGATATGGTATCCAGCTAGATGAAACCAGGACTACTAAGGGCAATTGCTACTAATTTTTTTTCGCGGTCTATTCAGAATGCAACAATTGAAGTTGTTTTTAGAATTTTGGATTTTCGAAACCCTTTTTGTTTTCCTTGATCTAGCTAATCTTGAAATTGTTCATTATATAACATGTGGAACTACAAACAATTCCATCAAATAAGAAGCTTTCACAAATATATTTTCGCGTTTATTCTTTTTGCAGGTTCGTATGTGACTCATGAAACAAACCACTTTGTCTACTTCTACTTGGATCAGAAAGCAGTTTTGCTATTTAAGTCTGGTTGAACACGGTTATGGTGATTACAAAGATGGTGACGAAAAGAATGACGACGAGCCTGAAATTGTGATGCCATAAGTTGCACGTGTATGTATTAAACTGAAATCTGCTAGCCTGCCAACCACTTGCTTAAAAATCTTGCACTTAACTTGTATATCTAATATTACTTCTACAGGCTGTGAACCTCGGGTATGAATTTCAGTTTTTCAATTTAATTGTGTCTCTAACTCCGCTTTAAGCTCTTTCATTTTCCTTTGTTTGGTGAAGTGAAAATTTTCAACTTATTTGGGTATTCTGATTTCCCATTTGCCCATGGAAACGGAAGACATAGCATAAAATGCCGGAAAAGTGCGGTTTCATTCTAAATTGCCGGAAAAGTGTTGTTCCATTCTAGAATAGGCCGGCGACATAGTATAACCGAGATTCATGGCAGCTGGATTTTTAGCCAAGGATCCAAAGGGTAAGAATCCGACGATCATGGATTCCGGTTCATGCTAGGTAAAGCATAAAGAATGTGCAGAATCTCTGTTATTGGTTTGCTAATGAATGAATTATTTGGCAATCAGTTTGTTCTTGCACGTAATCAATTAACTGAAGCATACTCCTTTGAAATCGACCAACAAAGCAGGAAGGGGATTTTGAAAAGCCATGATGATTTGCAAAGTCTCTTCTGAGTGGTGGTGATCGTTGCACACAGAGGGGAATGCCATAAACAGTTCCGATAATTTTCTACTATTGTTCCCTGAACTGTGGCCTAAATGAAGCGTTGATCTTTGAACAAAAAAATAGTGAGTATTAGTTTCTGAATTGGTAAGTGAGATTAGGAAATTCTAAAAGAGTTACCTCAAAAAAACTATAATACTCTTAAATTTTTATTTCGACGAACAAAGCTTCAATTCGATCAAAGTTTAAAAATAGATGCTCAACAATTCACGTGCTCCCATCGGGCCGTTCAAATTTTATCCAACGGTTACAATTATTATAACTTTTAGAGGGGCTCATTGTTTGTAATCGTTAGATAAAATTTGAACGGCCCGATGGGCTTGCTCAGGAGGATCCTCACCCTTAGTTTAGAAGAGGATCCTGTTCCTTTTAAAACATTTCACTTTCATACTTCAAGTACTATTTTATTTCAATATAATACATCCATTACATTTTTCATCCATTGATTCATTAAGAGCTGAAATGACTGCCACATTTATGCCACGTGACTGCCACATTTATACCACGTGGCTACCAAATTTGTGCCATGTGGCAAAAAAAAAAAGTTTGTGTGCATTAAAAATATTATAATATTGACCCTATATAAAAAAAAAAAAGTAATATCCACACATCCCATTTTACTTTTCACACAACTTTTTAATTTTCGGCCTTTGGATCAAATGAATTAAAGAAGATCAACGGATAGAAATTATCAAGAGGTGTGTGAAAAGTAAAATGAGGTGTGTAGATAGCACATCCCAAAAAAAAAAAACAAAATAACAACCTAGAAGTAGAAACCTCTCCCACTCCACCCTTTATGCTCCCATTGCAATCAGGCCAAACGGCAATACAAAACCTCCACCCGCTCTGTTCCCATTGTAACCATAGTGTTGGGTAAGAGAGAGAGAGAGAAAATGATGCACGATTGTTGTTTGGCTTTATTTAGACGGCAAAAATTATTTTTTTGCAGATCCCACTGCCATCTCCTCCACTGGACTTGGGCCTCCCAACTCCACCCTTGACCCTCCCTCGCCGCTCCCACCGCCATCTCCTCCACTAGACTTGGACCTCCCGACTTCCCCACATAAGCCCAGACAATCGGGTTAATTGGTATGAACCGCGGGCGAGCGGTGGGTGCGTTTCGTTGGGCAAGGTTGGGGATCGAATGAATCTCGGGGCAGAGGTTTGAATATTGGGTCCGAACCATCTTGAATAGATTGGCTACACGTGTAGCACCAGGAAGACGATGCAGCCATCAAAGCCATATGAAGGTCTCAGAAACCCTAGAAATTGCAGAGAATGTGTAAGATGAACTGGGAAGATGGGAAGGGATATCAGACGGGGAAGATGGTTTGGATGAATAAGGGAGAAAGGGTGATAGGTGTGTAGGAGGGGGAGGGGGAGGAGCGCCATAGGAGGGAGGTGGAGATGGAGGAAGAGAGGGCGAGAGTTGCAGAGAGGTGAGGGGGAAGCAAGGGTATCCGGGTCTGGGTTTGTGTTTGTTTGTTTGCTTTTTTTTTTTTTTTTTTTTTTAATTTTTAATAGGATAAATCATTATAATATAATGCATAATTTTTTTTTTGCTACGTGACATAAATTTGGCAGCCACGTAAGCATAAATGTGGCAGCCAAGTCAGCTCTTAATGGACCAATAGATGGAAAATGTAACGGATGTGTTATATTGAAATAAAATAGTACGTTAGGTATGAAAGTGAAATTTTTTGAAGATGTTGTATGAAGTTACAATAAACCTCAAACTTGAGGTGGTAAAAGGTAATTTACCCAAAAAAAAAAAACGTAAGGATTCTAAATTTGAATCTTTTGTAAGCTTTTATTTTATTTTACTTTTGATAGTTTTTGAAATTTGGCTTTCACTTTTTTATTTTCAAAATTTATTTTCATTTTGAAAATTGAAAGAAGTTATCAAATAAATATTTAATTTTTAAAGAGAAACTACGGTTGACATTTCAAAAATCTAATTGTACACTTCTCGTAAAAGTATTTTTCTTTATTTATATAAAAAGTTTGGAGTGTATAATTAGATGTTGTGTCAATAAGAGTAGTTCCCTTCAAATAAATCAAAACTAAAAGCGAATTGGTTAACAACGGCCCTTTAATGCAAAGTTATGAAAATGAGAACTCACATGTAATGTAACGATATAAATTTGAAACACTGTCATCTTGATATTTTCGTTGATTCTCTCCCGTGAAAAGTGATGGCTATGAAAATCTCAATGATCTTTAAGCTTATAAAAATGCAGTAGTTTCTGCAGAAAGCGAAGGTGAAGCGAAATGAACACGTAGTGGTGGCAAATCCTAATTATTCGAATTAATTAGTAAGGCCAATCTCTCATCCTTGTAGTGCTCTTTCTAGCTAGGGTTCCAATTGAGTTCCCACTTTCAAGACTGCATGGCCACATTTAAATTCCACTTCGAGGCCTTAACTAATTATTATTCTTTTAGGCTTTGAAATCAATGGCAATTCACAAAGAAAAAGTAGAGGAAATTTAAAAGAAATATTATCAATATTCATGCATACGTACCCATCATTTTTGGCAAATGATTGATTCGGACCAGAAAACCCTTTTCCTTTTCTGTGTCTTTTCTTTATGGAACTGTTTCCCAATGCCAATTTCAATTTGTATAGACGTGATGTTTCAACTTCCAATCATGCATGCATCTCACCTAAACACACCATATCGAATTACTCGACTAGTGCTTTGCAGAATGCAGAAATTTTTTATATATATGGTCAATCCTCTCTCTTATAATTTGCACACGAGTTCATTGTATGTTATGGGGGTTGCCTAGTAGGTATGTACCACATGCATTGTGATAAGTTAAACATAATTGGCCCAAACATACTCTCTTTTAGGACTTGATTTATATAATAACAATCACTTTCTTTCTGTATTGTATAAGAAAAGTTTCGTATAATCGATGTTTCCCTAATGTCATATTATCTACTATTACAATTCAAATTCATTATTTGCATTGTCGGTAGAAAGTTAGAGAGTACAAAATCTTCTCTAGTGTGACACCAATAAACGATAGCAATTAAAATTTCATTTTGAACTGTTAGAGAAAGTAGGCGAGTACAAAATCTTCCCTAACGTGACTTCAGTAAGATAACAATAAATATTGTTTTATGCACTATCAGTATAAAGTTAAATATAACCGACACGCACAAAGTATTTTCCTAATGCGAATTGATAAGCGACGACAATTTATTTTGAATTGTCAGTGGAAAGTCGGCAAGTACAAAAATCTTCCCTAATGTGACAAGATAAGATAACAATCAACTTTGATTACGCATATTGTCGGAGGAGAAAAGTTAAATATAAACGACACGCACAAAATCTTTCCCTAATGCGACACCAATAAACGACAATAATTAAATTTCCTTTTGCGAAAGTCAACGAGTACATAAAGTCTTTCCTAATGCGACAAAATAAGATAACAATTAACTCTGCTTAGGCATATTGTTGGAGGAGAAAAGTTAGACATAGATGACGCGCACAAAATCTTCTAATGCGACACTGATAAGCGACAATAATTAAATTTCATTTTGCATTGTCAGTGGAAAGTCGGCGACTACACAATGTTCCCTAATGCAACAAGATAAGATAGCATTTAAGTTTGCTTACACATATTGTCGAAAAAGGAAACTTAAATATAAACGACGCACACAAAATCTTTCTCTAATGTGACACTGATAAACGACAATAATTAAATTTCCCTAATATTACAAAATAATAAGAATCAACTTTACTTTTGCATGTTGTCAAAGGAAAGTTGAATACACAGACGCTTACAAAATCTTTCCTTAATATGACACTGATAAACGATAATAACTACCTTTCTACATAGTCAGAGAAAAGTTTCGTATAATAGGTGCATACAATTTTCCTAACAAAAACCATGAATGTCGACAACCAACTTTAGTTATGCTTTGTCTGAAGAAAGTTAAATATAACCAGCGCTTGCAAAATGTTTCTCTAATTCAAACACGGATAAAATGATAACAATCACCATTCTCTCTGCATTTCCATAACAAAGTTACATATATATACAATTATACATACGAAATATTTCCCTAATGCGAGATTGATTAGTAGTGACAGTTACCATTGCTTTGCAAACCAATCTGATATAACTGACATCCCTAGGTTTTCTTCCAACTTTATGAAAAATTTCTTCCTTGGTTTTCCCCAAAACCATGCTTTCCTTTTTGAGTACTAATAATCTCAGACCCCAAAACCATGTACCACCAAGAAGCCCAAGATCCCGAAACCAGGTACCAAAGAAAATAAGACCCCAAAAACCAACCACCCACTTCCTGTTATATAGGATATGTTTGGACACCACTATTTGCAAAGAACCAAAAAAAAAAAAGATTGCTCAAACTTGGCAAATCTTATTGGACCTACTTTCCTGTCCTGTCAATCCGACTGGCAACTGTGAAGAATGGAAACTCAGGTAATTAAAAAGGGAAATGGATCCTCTCCTCGTGAGCACAAGATTAGGATCCTCTTGACCAGCCTACGTAAGTAGTTAGATTTTAATTTAACAGCTGCAAACAAAGGGTTCCTCTAAAATTATAATAATTGTAGCCGTTGGATCAAAATCCAACTACTTAAGTGAGCCGGTCAGGAGAATCCTGAGCTTGTGCTTAGGAGAGGATCCAATTCCATTAAAAAGGGTAGTTACTAAATATTGTAGGGAGTTTCAACAAAATACTTCTGGTACTGTTCACTTTTAACGAGAAAACACATTTTTACCTTTTCTTGGTACTATTCACAACACCTTTATTTGTCATTTTTCATTAAAACTAAAGTTTTTTTTTTTAGATTTTTCGTTAGTTTTCTTAATATAGTATTTGATGTTTGCAATCAAATCAAGAGGGACTCAAGAGTTAAAAGATGCAGAAATGGAAGGACCTCATCAGTAAACAGGAAAAGAACAAGGGGTTTTAAGAAAATGTAGGGAAATCTCATGTTCCTTGGTGGCATGCAATGATCTTTTTTTCTTGTTGGGACCATGACAGATTTACATTGTTCTCCAAGTACTAATTCTGCGCACTGTTGTCTACCATTTATATACTATTGTTCATTCAGCGCGCAATTTAGACATTCCCTCTACAAATCCAATAAAAATGCGCAACATAGAACTAACACCATTACCCTATATACGCCCCACCGCCATTGCATTGCATCAAGCAAACGTGGCCATATATACAGAAAATATAAAACTCCGAAAATATATTATCTGTATATAACCACCCTGGAGTCTAGTGATTATGGACGAATTCTAAAAACGTATTTCACATGATACATCTGAATTCGTTTCGTATCGTTGATGAATCGTACGATGGTGATCAGGAAGAGACTGAAATATCTTTGTGCATTTTCTTAACCTTTAAAAAAATGAACTATCGCATCGAAACCACTAATTAGTTCACTTTTAACGAAAAAAAAAACATATACGTATAAAAAAATTCCAATAAATAAAATCATGAATGCCACTGTTAAGCATAAGAAGGAAATGCCATTAATGCCCTTCCAACTGTCACAAAATCCCACGACTGTCCTCCACCATGGTTTCCGTTCTAAATGTTTGACGTTTGAACAGGTTGGATTCTCCTGGCCCCGTAGCAGGAAGCAAGAAAAAACGACAAAGGACATCAAAGTCTTTTCGAAATTAACTAAGGGTAAAACTGGAAATACAACTCTAGGAACCAATTCATATCGGTTCCACACTGGTAAAACTCTCTCCCCCATCTCTCCCTCTCCTCTCTTCTATCTCAGTAGGCAAATCCACCCGCTCGGTTTCTGGTCCCTTTGCGCTGATCAGAGGAAGCTGAAGGAGAAGAAGAACAGTACTTCTGCTTCTCTTTGTGAACAATCTCTTCCTCGTCCATGAAAATCTGCCTGTACCTGCAGTCCACGCTGCAAAATCCCCTGTCCCCCCTGCATTTTCAAGAACCAAAAAAAAAAAAAAAATCCAAATTAAAGATTGTAACTTTTTTTCCTCCAAAATCACCATGCAATGATGAAAATCAAAAAACAAAACCTGGGTTTTTCACAAAACAGCAAAATCAAAGGTGGGTTGGTAATAAAAGTGTGATCTTTCAATTTTTTTTTTTTTGGTGGGTTTTGCGTGGAGAGAGAGAGAGGGAGAGAGAACTTACTTGTACATGTAGATGTCCTTGCCAGGCAAGAGTTTCTGCTTGCAGAGAAGGCATTGGTCAAGAAAAGTTGGTTGCCCAAAGGAGGAGGGTGAGACTGAGGAGTGAGAAGAAAAATGAAAACTTGTGTGGGTTATTTGTGAAGGGCTTGAAGGAGAAGGCAAAAAAGAAGAAGAAGAAGAAGAAGAAGAAGGCTTGTTGATGACAATCATGGTGGCTTTGTTAATTACTTGTGGGACATTTTTGCTAACTCCACTCCCCTTTTGACCTCCTTCCAATACTATGCTAAGTCCCACCATATCTATCTATCTCATTGAACTCCTTAATTACTCTCTCTAAAATTTTCTATGGGAGGTTCCTATCTCTCTCTAAAAATTTCAGTGTGAGGAGGAGAAGGGAGGAGGAGGGAGGAGAAGCCTTTTGCTCTCTCTGGTTGATAGGAAAAATTGAAGAAAAATAAATAGAGAAGAGAAGAAGGGAGAGGAGGATGGTACGGGTGGGTTTGGTGGGACCCCTAACAGCTATGGAGCAGTAACAAGGACGATTAACGAAGCCATCGATTTGACTCCTTGTGCTGGTAAACTGCCACGGACCCCGCTCTTTAGTTTACCATTTTCTTTTGCTTTTTAGGGGTTTTTGTATTGAGTAATGTTTTCGTACTATATTTTTCACATCATATCAATATCACATTTTGAATAAATAAAGCCTATCAATACACGTGAATTTTTTCTTTTTTAACAAACGATATTATCTATATTAAGAAAATAGAAGAGTGGGCTAAGCCTTATGATGAATTAACAATAATGTGGTTTAAATTCATTTTTAGCGAGAACCGAACCTAGGACCATCTCTAACTGAAAGATTCAGAGGGTTGAAAATAGCTCGAAAATCATCTTCAACCGAGAACTAGACCAAAAGGCTCGTGGGCCACAAAGGACAAAAAATAGCCAAACGGCCAACTGACTGGCCATCTTCAGCCCGTTGGCTAGCCCACTTTTTTTTTTTTTTTGATGTTTTTTTTTTAATTTCTAATTTTTCCTACATTATTTCTCACATATTTTTCATCATTTCATATTATCTTACCTCATTTTATTTCAATTCTTCATATTCCATACAATAGCCCTTTGACTCTCGGTTGGAGGTTGGAGATGTTTGGCCTATGGTCCTCTGGCCCCTCGGTTAGAGATGGTAAAAAATATGGCTCTACATTGTTTATTAAAATATTAATTTCTTGGGAGGCTAGAGGGTTAAAACAAGCCATTTGGCCCTCCTTTGGTTGGAGATGGTCTAAGATCTCTCACTTTTCAGACAATAAAAAAGAACATCTCACTTACAAATGACTAAGAATATTACTAAACCGTGCCCTCTTGTTTCTAAGTAGCCTCTTATTCTATTAGATTGTGGTACAAATATGGTATGTAAAGAGTAATGCTAGCTAAATCAACTTTTTAAACCACATTTGTAAATTATATAATGTGTCAAATAAGCACATTAATCAACACTTAATAATTCAATTATCAACAATCACGTTATATAGTGTACAAATTTTGATTTCATAATTTAGTCCTCTAACATTACTAGTATAGAAAGGATAATGTGATAAAAGTAACATTTATTTTTATTTTTTATTTATTTACTTTCTGGTTGTGTTTACGTTTAAATTAAGATTGCTTGTATAACTGGTCTCACATAATTAGGGTCTGATGAGTGAAAAAAGATAAGAATAATACCCTAGTCGCTGTTGCAGTCGAAGTCGCAGTCGCAGTGGAAGAACTACTCTCTCTCTCGCACAAAAGCCAGAAAAATGGGTCATGTGATTAGTTCCTCTTCTGCGGAGGGTTGCATGGGTCGTGTGATTTATACATGACGGCCGACAGAAAGGCATGCTTTGGTTTTGTCTACATGCTAAATTGCCAAAACTAACCAACAAACCCTTGAGTTTATGTACACATCACACGCCTTCTAATTTCTAATATATTTTACTACTTGTTTTCGGTTGCATGGCCGTTTTCTTTTGTGATTTTTCTAATATATAATAATTACACTAAAGGGTGGATCTTCAAACTAAGTCACACAATTGATTATATAGTTGAGTATCAAATTTGTTTCAAATGAGTGGGACATTAGACTTTTCACTTATAAATTAAGAGGAATACCAATAAATTATAGTATTAAGTAGCTCTTTGTGATTTTAACGAGTTATTTTTGTTTTGTGTTACACTCTATATATTACACATGTACAAATCCTTAAATGTATGTGAGAGACCTTGATTCAAGGGCAAATCCATTTTGGGGCAGGGACGGTCAGCTAAATTTATTGGAAAATCGGAAAATTAGGAATGTATTGGGGATTGGTAGATTTTGGGATTTTATTTTATTTTCTACATTTAAGAGGAAGTTATAAGAAGGTTTCATTGTCCTTGTAGATTTATGTTTATTTGTCTAGTTAAGATTTGATTTTAATTCTTATTTTGGGTTATTCTTATATTTTTTGCTCTATAAATACCTCCTTATGAAGAAGAATAAAAAGTATTCAAGTTATGTAGAATTGAATAATACTTTGTTTAACTTGAGATCAGAACCGAATTTGATTCTTGGTTGAACCTTATTGTGCTCGCTTCTTTGTTGGTGTGTGAAGCTAAATATCTTCGCACACCCACTTGCCATGAACTTGCTGATATAGATGCTTCCACTGCTTTGTTCCTACCTCCACATCCCCATACACATGTTGATAATTATTGTGGGACCATGATTTTCCAGGGTCAGAGTAAGGCAGATTGGAATATGATTACCTCATAAGTATGGTCATGGACTCAAAAGCTTCCACATCAGAACTGCTCAGACAGATCATCATTGCCACCATCATCTTGTTTCACAACAAGTAGGCGAAGTCTGACGACTTCACTGAGTCTGAGATTGACCATGCTTGTTTTGCAACATACAGAAACCTAATCCAGTATGGAATTAGCCATGTTTCCTATATTCTTGAAGTTTCTACAATATATGGATTGGCATGCACCGCAAGTAATCCAAATCCTAAAAGGATGCAATATCTATTCCTAGATATTATGTAGAGTCATCGTTGTTTAATACGAATTTCATATCCTAAAAGGTCTCTATGTTGATTGGTGCAAATACACAATTCTAAGGTTCATCTCTGATAATGCAATTATTGCACACTTATTCTTTTGCCTACCCCTGAAGTCTTATAATATTACTTACTAACTTGACCGTCGAGAGCCTTTGGCTGGAACCTCTCTCCCCTGCGGTCATTGGTTGTTTATATTTGTTTACTGTTTTACACGTTATTGAGTTTGTGCACTTACCCACATACAATACGCCTGATGTTGATGTTGTGAAGCTAAAGATGATGCTCTGCTGCTTTGCCCTTCCCTACTTCTGCTTTTGCTCTATATCCTAAATCATTAGGGTTTTGTGTGGTCTTTGCCTTGTTTTGCCCCTGAATTTGCCCTTACCTTTGTCTTGCTTTGCCTTCTCTTGCCTCACCTTGCCTTGCTTTGCCTTAATTGGTCTTTGTCTTGCCTTGCGTTAATTGGTTTTTTGCCTTGCCTTGCCTTAATTTGTTTCCTTTGCCCTAATCTTAATAGTGTTGTTACTACTATGACTGTTCGAGTGCTTGACTACTCAAGACGGCTGCCTATAATCTCCGTGTTTGAAGTTAGTGACGTTGTTGTCTACATGCTATTGTTGACGTTGGTTTTCTCTTGGAAAACTCATGATTATCACCATGAGTTAGAGGGAGAGTGTTGGAGAGTCGGAAAATAGGAATGTATTTGGGAATCTAAGATTGTTAAATTTTGGGATTGCTTTTAATTTCCTACCTTTAGGAGAAAGTAATATGTAGGTTTCCTTGTCCTTATAGATTTATGTTTTAATATGTAGGTTTCCATGTCCCTATAGATTTATGCTTAATTGTCTAGTTAGGAGTTTATTTTAATTCCTATTTGTAATACTTTGTTTAACTAAATTACCCTTTAAAGTTATGAGATGCTTCTGAAAGTTGCCTTCCAACTGTTCGATGAATTGCCTCTATGGCACTGGGCAGGGAAGTTACTAGCCTTATGTCTTTGGATGAGCTATTATGAGCATCTGTAGACTCACTTAGCATATGTTGGCATTTGTCAGCATGTTTGCTCAAAAATTGTTGGCAAGAGTCAGAAAGATTTTCCTAAGATATAATGACTTATTTGCATATATGGTAGACTATGATATGCATACAAGGAAGAATTGGCCTAGGTGATGGAGTGTCGCAGGAATTTTGGCCAAATCTTGGATGAAAATCGAGTAAAGGCTAGGCAATTACCTAGTCACTATCTAAGCGGGCTAGGCGACCTAAGTGGTGGTAGACAGAGACTCTTCTTCATTATCTTTACCCTAGGAAAGTTAGGGGTTTTTAAGTGGGAATATTTCCAATAAAAAAATGTAGGAATGCTCTATTTTAAATCAGAAAATAAGGCCCAATAATTTATAAGAGAAAATAAGGCCCCAACAAGAACGTAGGAACCTAAAATATATTACCAAATCAATAGAAAAAGCCTTAAAATATTACACAAATACTCATATTTTATAATATATAATAAATTTATTAAAGTAAAAAAAAAAAATTCGCCTAGGCCCTTAGGCGAGAGGCGCTTTCCCACTGCCTGACTACCGATTAGTGATTTTTAGAACATTGCATGTAAGTGACCCACAATTTTTTTTCTTTCTATTAGTACTACAATTGAAAGATATTTATCTTCAAATGTAAGTAGGAGATCTTAAGTTTGAATCACATAGATGACAATGACATACTATATCTATGTTTAGTTCGATGCTTAGTTAGCAGTTGGTCCATTATGCAGCGCCTAGCTTTGTTCCTCCTCCCCTTAATGTAGAATACCGTTGTACAAAAAAAAGTAGGAGATCTTAAGTTTGATTTACATAGTTAGCGAGTCGATAATAAATTATTGTTGACTCATTGTGAGACTCAACTCTCATTCCCAATAATGTTGTATTAGTAAGGAAAAAGAATATCTCCTTGTCATTTATCTTCTCTCTATATCGGATGGCTTTCTGTAATTCAGAAAGATTGTAAATTATAATTTAATCCAAAATTATGTCCAAAGAGATTATCGTATTAAATATTCAAAGTGTGTAGATGAAGATGATTGGACATTTGAAAGTTCTATCTCAACCTAGCTACCACATGGATTTTAATTTTTTTTCTTTTTTCTTGACCGATGGAAGGAACAATGTCTAACCCAATCCGAAACCACTAATAGATAGGGTGGGCTTGACTCAAGTGCTTTCCCTAATGGTCTTATAATTATATATACTATTACCATCTAAATGCTTTCTAATCCATATCTTAAAAATAATATAAAAGAATGACATTTTCAATGCTTTTGTTTTATGTATAGTCGAATATATCTTCTTTCTAACATAATTATTT